TGTCTCTGTCTCTGTCTCTCTGTCTCTCTGTCTCTCTGTCTCTCTGTCTCTCTCTCTCTCTCTCTCTCTCTCTTTCTCTCTCTTTCTCTCTTCTAGTCTGTTACAACTTACTCTTTTACTTCCTTTCCAGGATTACATCAGCTGTGGTATCGGCATTCAATGGGTAGGCTACATTATGACGTCATACGGAGTTTGCACAGCCGTCTTCGCAATCAGTATCAACTCCCTGGCTCGTCACATGGGCCGCTTGTCGCTCTTCATCATCGCGGTCTTGGCAGACGTGAGCACCCTAGTCGCCATGTTGATCTGGTCCCCTGCCGGAAACGAGTACGTCGCCGTGTACTTCCTGATCCCGGCTGTTTCTGGGATCTCTGAAGGCATTATGCAAGCACAGTTTAACAGTGAGTTCGTCAAGCATGACACGGATCAGTCTTGCTAATTGTGTATTATAATTTTAACTGTTCTGTAAAGACTGTTCTGCATCATCATCAATCTGACGGAGCCCCATGCGGGTCTTGTAGAACAATCATGCTGTTGCTGCTGCTGCTGCTGCTGCTGCTGCTGCTGCTGCTGATAGTGATGATGACGATGATGATGATGATGACGCTGTTGTTGTTGTTGTTGTTGTTGTTTTAAATGAAACATAATCTTTGAAGATAATAACTCCCTGGAAAACTTAACTTTTGCCCAGGGAAATGTTAAATGTGATCTGTTCACCTACAGCGCACAATAGACTTATTAAGTGGGACCCTTCAAGTGAAATGGCCAATCTGTTCCCTCTTTCCATTTTCATGTTTGAGATTTAGATAAATTATTATGTACAAAAGGCGCTAGAACGGACTACAAATGTATGAGAGTAGATGTCCTACCGAATTGTTTTCTTTACAAAGAGAGTTTATTCTTAATTATTCCGAATAGACCTAATAAGTTTGCTGGATTAGTTCTCTGCTTAAACCCAGTCACATCAGATCCGATTATTTTTACTAAGTGTTTAGTCCACATTGAAGGTTTCACATTTTTTGGAAATGGTTGACAACTTTAGTTAGTTGGGTTTTTTAAAAGTTTAATTTCGTATTGATAGCATAATGCTTTTTTTGTTGTTGTTGCTGTTACACAAGTGGCGACATACACATAGACAAATGATAGGAGGTGGCAGCAAGCTTACATTAATGCTTAATCAAATATAGCACACGAAACAATTGTCTGCTTGTCAAATGGAACTGGCTTTTAAACGCCTACAATGATATCTGATCGTATGGTTCCTTGGCCTCTTAATTACTTGAAAGTAGAATATAGAACTCAAGAAAAATAGGTCTGCTCTTTGCCCTTGTCTAAATTCTTATCTTGTTCAGCTGACCAACATAGCTTTATAAAGTGTTTCCTGTAAAACGGTGGGACGGCTTGAGTAAAGAAGGAATCTTAAGTGTCTTGAGCAGTGAGCAAAATTTGTCGCTTTACAATCATGTTCTTGGCAGTTTTTCCTTGTGTTGGAAATAAGCTCTGTTAACTTTTGCTTCTGGAAGAGCTTATTTTCAAAGAGAAAACGTTTACGTATGGTTTATTGACTCCTTTTTCTTCTTGTGTGTGTTTGTTTGGGGGTGGGGGCTGCTAGCTTAGACTTGTTTGAAATGGATTTGTAGATGTTTTACGCCCCTATCGACACACTTTAGAGGCTATTTCGATCTTGCCTGTCAGGGACAACCTGGGCAGCTGGTTAGTAAACGTCGTCCCAGCTCTGACAGACGGAGATAATCGATTACCCCCCCCCCCCCTTCCCCACACCAACCACTGAAAAAGAACTCACGTCTCTGCTCTGTGTGCTATGGCCAAGCTCCAAACCGCAACACCACAGACGCCTGGAGACTTGTTTAAAGCTTGATAAACTTTGACAAATAGTGAAAGTATACACATTTTTTATGGTGTTTTTTTTTTGGTCACCCTTAAAAAAATGTTCCGAAACACGTCTCGAAAAACAGCTGCACTGGTAAAAGCCAATGTAAAAATATACGCCCTTTCTACCTTCCTGTAAGTATTTTTCCTTGTGCGTAACTGCTTTGATTTTCTTTCTATAAAATGTACACATTAGTAATGTTTTAAGTCGTTAGTGTTACAGACCAATTATTATGTCTGCTCACTCAGCTGTCGTTAATGTTTATTTCTACAGCTCTTGTGGCTCAAGTGTTCTCCGACAACATGACTCCGGCTTTTGCGACCTATCACACGTCTAAAGCCACGTCCTTCACCCTGACCTTTGTACTCTCCACCTTTGTGTGTCTGCGGTACCGTCTCTTCATTTCCATCGGCCTGTACGGACTGGGGCTTGTAGGGTATTTGATCACAGAGTTCCGCCTAAAACGTCGAGCTACTTACACCGACAAGCACGGGCAAACAGAGGTCAAGAAACAGTCTGACATCGTCGACAACACAACGAAACACAACAGCGGACTTCAATAAGCATTGAGAACTGTTCATTACTCAATATTGCCGAATAAAAACGAATTCACTCTTATTGCTGTTTAATAGTCACTATAAGCTAAAGGCATTTCTCATCGGAATACATACATATGTACATTCAGAGAAAGTCATACAGAGAGAGAGAGAGATAGATCTCATCGGAATACATACATATATACATACACATACATATACATATATATATATATATATA